CTATATGATATTACTTATATTATAATATAACTTACCTATTATATACTATATACCTTACTATATATATATATATATCATCTCATATGACCGCGTCACCGTACTCTCCATACGTGCACCGAGTAATCAAACACTCAGAGCCGAGCGAGGGGAAACACAGTGATGTGAACCTGTGCGCGCCCCTCCCATTCGAATAGCACTAGACGCAAAAAAGCGTTAATCTCCCCGTCTATAGGAACCTGATGATACGGGTTTCCCTTTTAAAACGCCGCGAAGGCTCCTTCATGAAGACACTGGCGAGGCTCATCCGGTGCCATTCCCAACCAAGACGTCAAAACGGACACATGCGAAAATTTACTCTTCTCCCCCGTTTTTTCTTTTTTTTCTCTCCGCGTTCTCAATCCCTCCGTCCCCTCTCCTATGCCCCTACCTCTCTCCCTCTCCCTCTCCCCTCTCCGCGTAGTATGCGTGCGTCACAAGTATCATCATATTTTTTTCCTTTCTCTCTTTCTCTCCTTCTTTTTTTTCTTTCTGCTCGACGGGCTAGCGGCCTCTCCCCAATTGCCCTTCTCCTTTTCCATGCTGGATTGTACCCCCTCTTTTGCTTTGTCTTTGTTCTGTTTTTTTTTCCTTTTTGGGGGCGCGGTCCCTGGCAACTGGTTGCACCCTCCCTATTGACCTACCTCTCTCCCTGTTTCGATGTCCTTACATCACCACATCGTTGTCTCTCTCTCTCTGTTCTCCATTCCCTTTCTTCTCCCTTCTCTCCTCTCTCTTCTCTTTTTTTCTTCTCCCCTCTCCTTCCCTATCTCTCCCTCCCTCCCCTCCCTCTCCCCCATCCATTCACCTCCAATTTTATCTAGGCGAATTAATCGCGTCGCATCCCTTCACAATGTAAACAAAACATCAGTCGCCTTCATAGATACCCTAAGTGTTCGGAAGCGTGATTTCGGAGCCGAGAGTGAGTTAACGAAACCGCATGTTCGTCCATTAACGTGAGGTCTCGGACCGGCGCACGGGGTGTTCACACGATACAACACCGAACTCCGCCTGATGTGACTGGCTGAGGATATAATAAAATACATCCGGAGCGTAGAATTGCGAACTTCAAATTTCTATTAGCCGCATGCGTCTACGCCAAGGTTCCTTCTCCAGTTGATCGTTCATTTTGTCGCTAATGATATTTGATATTTCTCTGTGTAGGCTTCCATTTTTGGCGCGACTTTTCCTTTGGTTAATTCGTCTTTTTTCATCTTTATTACCCCTCTGTCTTCTCTTCTCTCTGCTATATCATCTGAGAGCTATCATTAGACTGTCCATTATCTGCTTCTAGCTGTCTCTCATCCTTATTATCATTTCGTTCATTTCACCTCATCATGTCTCTCTTTCATTACTTCTCATCATATCTACTCTCTCTCTCTCTCTTCTCTCATCTCGTTATCATTTATCTTTCATGTTATTGTAGCCATTATTATTATTATCATCATCATCATCATTATTGTTATTTTTATCATTATTGTTATTTTTATTGTTACTTGGTGTGTGATATTATTGATTGTATATTATTGTCGATTTGTGAGTCTTATATTTTCTATTTATTGATTGTATTTTGTATCTCATCTCTCTTCTCTTATCCATTATTATTATTGTTATCATTATTATTATCGTTGTCATCAATATTATTTCCATTAAGTTTACTCTCATTCCATCCATCTACTCACCTCTTCATTTATACTCATCCTTCGTTATATCTTCATCTTTACTTATTCATTCTTTTGCGTTTGTCGCTCTATTCTTCTAGTCTTCTCTTAATATTCATTCTCAACTGACCTCTACTTTTCCTATCTCTATCCTATCTCTCACTCGCTACTTTCCTTTATCTCTTGTATTTGTGTGATATAATCATTGTTACTATTATTATTCTATTACCATTGTTATATGTTGTTGTGACGTATATAAGTGTTGCGGTATGAGTGCAACACTGCTGTGAGTTTGAGTGCTGTTATTTTTCACATCGTATTGTTCGATTAGCGTCTTTATGCATGTATATATTTACCCGCGTTTATCCTACTCCGAGTCATCTATGCCGCGATATTCTTGCTGATAGGAGCCATGGGCGGAATACTCCCAAAAGACTACGTATAGAACATCTCTGAGTGCGGTAAGTGATAATGTAATTAAAATTCAGACCGGCCGTATAACTGGGAGGAGAGTTATGTATTAATAATATAACTCGCGCACTATTCATCAGGCATAGAGTGGATTAGATTACTGTTGCATTGGATTTGTGTAGAGATAAACTACAATAGTAATATCATTAAAGAAATTAGATCACGCCTAAGAAAGCAACCCAGCCGAAATTCAATGGCATCGTGAAGATTCCCGACCAGAAGATCTTATATTGAGCCTAAGCGACCGTTCTGTATTTATATATATAGATATGTGTGTGTGTGTGTTACTGTATATATTTATATATATATATATATATATACATATACAATACAGTCTGTTCGATAACTTCTTTTTTAAGTTATCCGGCTAACAACAAACAACTGTGTATGACTACGATAACTAAACTAACTTATACGCTGTATCGTAAGTGAGGAGTGTGCGAATCCGCTCGGTCCGGTGTGTGTGTGTGGGTGTGTCCTATGTTCATGTGGGTTTCCATGTGTGTGTATTGTGACGGAATTGTGGCGTATTTTTCATATTATAATAATTTATCACTAGGCAATGTGGGAGTTGCATTAATTATACATAGTTAAATGTGATAGATGATTATAATGGAGTGTAGAGTGATATGTTAAGAGCTGTGGGTGTGTAATGATCAAATGTATTACTAATTGATAATTTATTAGTTGGAGTTCTATTAGTTAATTAGAGTGATTGGTCTTGACTGTGATAGTACTAATAATTCTTAATATTAATGCGTAATATTATGATAAAGAATATTAAAATGATGACCATGTTAATGTTGTGCTATGTGATAGTTGTGATTAGATGATAGAGTGTCATGATAATGATGATAATGATGAAGATGATGGTGGTGATGGGTTGATGATAATAATTAATAATAATAATGATAATAAGCTATTTAAAAATAATGGTAATTATGTTAATAATGAAAAGAGATAATAATGATAATAATAAGAAGCTCAGAGACACATACCTCCCCAATAAGGCAATAATGTCATGCTGATTGCAATAACACCCTTTCTTCAAGTACACAGGTGACGTCCTGTAAAGCGTAACCTGCTTGGCGATGCAAGCAATAGGGCTGATGCATGCAATCCAATCAAAAATTACTCGCATCCGGCTGAGACACAATTCTCGTAATATCTTCATAAAAAAATCTGTGTCTGCGATGAAACTTTTTGATTTATCCTTGCAAAACAAGCAAAATAATTTATTGAGTGAGTCCAGATCGCCACTAAAATTTAATGCGTAATCTAGGTGTTAGGATGACACCCATGCGTAAAACTTTCAGAAAAAATCTGTTAATAACTTCTGAGGTGTGAATCCTGCTAACCACGCTACGAACAGAATCAAAACTAACAAGGCACCCGACCCAACCAGCAGTAAGCGCGTCCTTGGCGAGTGTCATTGATTAGATAATAATGGGTGAGATGAGAGTGATAATAATTGTATGATTGATCATTGTGCCGTGTGTGGTCTGTATATGTGAATGCATTAAGTAACGTTTGCATAATTGTGTGATGAGATGCTGATAACGAATTGTAGGGTTAATAGTAACAATAACGATCAGCTTGAAATTCAACGATTTACTAGTGGTGGTTAATTATATATTATATACCATAAGAGATAGATGATGTTAGATATTGAATAATATGATAACATAGTATAATATGAAATGTAAGTGAGAGTTGAATTATTCTATATTACTTATCTTGATATGAAGTGAACTAATTATAGATGAGTAAAATGAGTTATATCATGAAAATATGATAGCGATATACTCTATTATACACAATTAGTCCAAGTTACTGATAAATGTTACAAGAGAGTGACATAGAAAAATATTAATGAGATTAATCTTTATATAACAAAAACAGATACATGTCTTATTTAACAGTCAACTTATTGATTCTAGTAATAGTTGTACTAAGGTAGATTACATCAATGATCTAACATTGATTTTGCCTCAAGATCGTATAATCTGATAACGATAACAAACCCCAGTAATAGTAACAATAACGATATTGAAATTCACGATTGTAATGGTGATAATAATAATAATAATAGTGATAATAATGATAATAGTGATAAAGATAATAATGAAAATAATGATAATCATATGATAACAGTAGTAGTAAAAGATAATCATGAAAATAATGATAATCATATGATAACAGTAGTAGTAAAAGATAATGAAAATAATGATAATCTTATGATAACAGTAGTAGTAATAGTAGTAACAATGATATGATGAGGATAATGGTAATGATAATGATAAAAAAATAATTATAATGATGATAAAGTTACTAATAATAGTAATGATAATACTGATCATAATAATAATGATAATCATAATCATATAAGTAATAATGATACTAATAATAATAATAATAATAGTAATAATGCTGCTACTTGTAGTGATAAAAAACTGTACTGCTATTTCCACTACTGTTTAGGAAAACTAGTTGCACCGATTTAACGTATGTCTTCAACATAAATCCCCTGCCCTGTTGCTTGTACTTCTGTTAAGTAAGCTAAGCGCGCGGTTTGACTTAGACAAGGGTGTTCCGTATGCTAACCTCAGATAGTGGATGCATTCTACTGTTAACTACAATGACATATTAATAAGTTAAGATGATAATGAGTATTGCTATCATGGTCATTTTTGTTATGATCACCGATACTATTATCCCATATTATTACTATTACTATCATTAGCTCATATTATTACTGGTACCATCATTATCCTATATCATTACTGTTTTTTTTCAAGAGAGATTTTTTTAACAAAAGTTCTTATCTCGCCAGGATCTCGAGCCGGCGTCCGCTTGACCAGGATCTCATCAACAACATCTCCTCGCTCAACCTCAGCGTCACAGACCTCGGCAAAGTGAGTTGACGCGAGAATTTTCCTCATACTCCCTAACGTCTTGTTGATTCCAAGCCCGCTGACCCACAAATAAATCTTACAGATGCTTTTAAAGTCCTGTTCCCTTTTTTTTTTTTTAGTTATGTGGTCGCGTGGGCGTGGATGGGCGTGGGTGGCGGATGTGCACGCGGTCCCCTGAGGTCGCGGGCGTGATGCTGGAGGCCGCGTGGGTGAGCGTCGTCCACTGCCAGCGCGTCATGAAGTACGAGCGCTGGAACTGCTCCCTCGGCCACTCCCGCATCATGATGGTCAAGAAAGGTCAGGCCGCTCTGCCTCCGAAGTCATGCTGCTTCAGATCGACAATTTTATGTGGAATTTCTTTAGTTACGGGAGGATAACGATGCGTTTAGAACCTTTACTTTTAGATACTTTGGATCTAAACATAATCATATGATTGCAACCAAGCAGTTTAATGAACTACTTGTAACGGTATTCTCCAATTCCTTTACTTATTAGAAGAGAAAATTACACTGCATATTACATCTATGATTTGACTTGGATCTAAACCATTCCCAAGAGACTGATACCCCTGTGCTGCCCAGGACATCATTACATGAACAACTGATCTTCAAGTCAGAGCTTTCCTTCCAGTGTACCGAGAGACGGCGTTGCTTCAGGGCCTGTCGGCGGCCGCCCTCACGCACGTGGTGGCGAGGGCGTGCGCCTCAGGCCGCCTCACGCGCTGCTCCTGCGACGAGTCGACCGTGACCCGGACGGAGAACATGCGGGTGTGGCGCTGGGGCGGATGCGGCGACAACCTGGCATACGGCACCAGGTGAGGGCATGCTGGGAACCACTGGGCACACGCATACACGTGTGTGTGTGTGTGTGTGTATGTATATATATATATATATATATATATATATATATAATATATATATATATATATACACACATACACACACACACACACACACGCACACACACAACACACACACACACACACACACACATATATAATATATATATATATATATATATATTATATATATATATATATATATATATATATATATATATATATATATATATTTATATTATATATGTATATTATATATATATAATATATATATTATATATATATATGTATATTATATATATATATATATATATATTATATATATATAATATATATATATATATATATATATATATATACATATATATATATATATATATATACTCAGCTTTCTCCCATTTCCATATGGGGTCGCCGGTATCTATTACTAATCTATTATGGCTTATATATATATATATATATATATATATATATATATATATATATATATATATATATATATATGCATGGGTGGAGCTTCATGCTCAGGGTGATGTGAAGCGATGGTGTGGCAGCCTAAGTGATGTTAAATGCTTGCATACCTTCTCGCTGTCAGCTGCAACCGCTGGTTTGCCCAGAGCAAAAAGAGGGAACAGCTATACATAACCCTCCCCAGTTTATAGCCTCTCCGAGACATGCAGTGCCTCCTCGAGCTGTCCCTCCCGCAAGTGAGGCAGACACCCATTAGGATGGCGATTGCTGGGGCTCAGGATGGGAATGGCAGCTACTCGTCCCACCTGCACTCTGGCAGCTGCCAACCCATTGTGAGGCCTGTGGAGTAAAGCCCACGGGAACCCCACAGATGGACGTTGTGCCCCACATCTGCCACTCCACAACAGCAGGAGTGGCAGTGGAGGCGTCCACCTGGAGCAATTGCCCGAGGTTGAACTTCATTTGGGTAATCTGGGTGTGGGCTTGGAACATCCAGTCTTTATGGCAGGTTGATAGATTACCCCTGCTTCCGAAGGAACTGAAGTGGTTGGGAATTGCAGTGGCTGCCCTCTCGGAGGTGAGGAGACCTGGCAGCAGCACAATTAGTATGGGCAGGAAAACCTATTACTAGTCAGGCCTGGGTGATGGTCACCATCTCTAGGGTGTACCATAACCATCAGACAACTTCAACCGTCGATAGTAGAGGTTTCTCCAGTTGACAAGCATATTATGGCATTGAGGCTGAAGCATGCTGTTGGCTTTGTCTCTCTTATTGATGTGTATGCTCGTACCAATGCCTCTAAACTCGGTGAGAAAGGCCAAACACATCTGTGGCAAACAAATGCCACCAGCGAAACATTCACACTGTACTGGACAATTCAATATGCTATCCAGCTGTGACTGAGCTAGCTACAAGATGTCTGTTTGTCCCCATGGTTCGGAAGCTAATCTCAATAACGAGAACAGCCTCCTTCTCTGGGACTTTGCTAGATCATAGAGATTGAGGATTTCTGGCTCCTGGTATCAGTATACTTGGTATAGCGACATGGGTGATGTGTCCAAGAAGATCAACCACATTCTTGTTAGAGGATCCTTTATAACTGTAGGGTTTACTGGAGTGCCGAGTTCTGTGGCACTAACCATAGACTGGTTGCAGCAACCATACAGGTCCACTTTAAATTCCCCTGTCTCTCCAGTGGCAATTCTTGGGTGTTTTACGTGGACAGTTTGAGGGAAGAGGAGTGTACACAGAGTTTCCTGCAACAATCTCTGATCTCTTGAAAACCTGACAGATCCTGTAGCTCTGTGAGATTCCTTTAAGCCAGAAATGCTCGATGTAGCGCAGGAGTTCGTTGGCGAACACCCAAGGACGACCTTTCATTTCGCCACAGATACATGTCGTGTTGGTTGTCTGAATGAAAATCGGGATTTGCGCCGTTCTTTGGTGGGCAGGGCTCGGACTCTGCCTAGAAGGGATAAGGATCAATTCATCAGGAATCTTACTGAGGAGGTAGAAGGCCATTTACATGTAAATAACCTTCATCATGCCTACCAAGCCCTGAGAAACCTTCCTCGTAGATGACAGCAGTCCAATCAGTGAATGGATGGATCATCTCAGAATATGTTGGGGCTTGTATATGTTGGGCTAAATATTTTGAGCAACTGTATCAGTTACACCCACCAGCAGTCAATCTGGATGTAAGTGAAATTGCAATCCCTGTACCAGACCCACCCATCAGTGAGGATCTTTTATCCATCACTAAGGTTAGGGAAGTGATCTCTAAGCTGAAAGATGGAAAAGCTGCAGG